GCTTCTCTGGGAATGGGAGGTGGGAGAAATATCTCTAAGGTTAGGGGTGCTGGGGAGAATGTGGGAACGAGTGACTAAATGTACATGGGAGGAAGACATTTACAGAGAAGCTGCATAATGTACGATATCCAGTCTTTTGTTGCTGGTCTGCCTTGCTGTGTGGCCCGGCTAGCGGAAGGCTAGAGCACTGATTTCTCTACATTTGTTTATTACAGTGGAGACAGGCATAGTGGCGCTGAGACCCGGGAGGCCCTGTACAGCATACAGAAGCTGTTGAGTCATACTGAGCTGCTCCCTCACACTTCCTCCGGTTATAAGACACATGTGGCAAGCTTTGGGGTGGGGGGGTGAAGCGGGCAGCCCTGTGGCACAGCGCGGTCAGCCTGGACTCGAGTGCGATCACAGCGCGGTGTCACCTCTGTCCCGGCGACCACATCGGCATCCCTCAGAGAGGAAGTGTGGTCGCTGAGACGCGATGGCCCTGTCCCCCTCGGGCCGGGACGGCGGGCTTGCCCGGTCGGCCTGCGGGGAGAGGGGCAGGCGTGATGGAGTCTGAGGTTCCTGGCTCCCTTCTGACACGTTTGGTCGGGCAGAGTGACACGTGACCTGTGATTGGCTGGCGGGGAGGCCCAGATGATTGGCCCGTGCTGGGTGGGCAGGAGGAGCGGGAGAGTGTCGACAGGACGACCGCAGAAGAGGATGTGGTAACAGGTGGGCGCCTGGTGACGGTCGCCGGGGGTGACGGAGGGGGCAGCGGGGTGGTCGTCTGGGTGACGGGTCGAGCGTGACCAGGCAGCTTCAGAGGCAGCTGCAGCCATGTGGAAAAACAAAAGCGAAGGGAAAAACTGAAAAGGTTTTTTGCCTGGAAATTTGAAACTGTATTTTTAGCTCAGAACAATTACACAGCTCAGTGGAAATAGGTCAATTAGGATGCTTTTCCTGCCGTGGAAAACCCTCCAAGTGAAGTGTCTCTGAGTCTGCCAGCTCAGTTCACCTCTTCAGACAAGCACAGCGTTTCAGTAACTACAGCCCAGTGATCACTGACAAACACTGTGCTGGAGGGTTCTCACGTTCTCTTTTTAAATGAGCCCTATCAACTCTATTCAGTAAGTGCTTGGTGAATAGCAGCCTGGTTTGATTATAACCAGAACAGTATGTACTAGGCCCTGGGTTTTTTTGGCTTACTGTTTAAAAATGTAGGTGATGATGAGTGGATGAGTGGATGAGTCCTCACCCATGCTGAAAGGCTGGGTCTGTCCTTTAGGAAATGAACACACATAGGAACTCAGCACGTTGGCATGTGTGTGTGTTTGTGTGTGTGTGTGTGTGTGTGTATGCTTCAGGTGAGAGTGAGAGAGTGTTTACTCAGTGGTGGGCTGTGAGTGATGTGTGAGAGTGTGTGTGACTGCAGGAGTCTCTGTACTGGCCTCATTCAGTCAGAGAGTGGGAGAGATGGCCTCCTCCTGCCCACCCGCACGTACACAGAAAGATCATCCCCTGTACACATACATCTCTCACTCACCCTTTCACATACCTTAGGACACATACTCATTCACCCTCCAACACACCTAATCACACACCTCCGGGCCATCTCCCTCACCCTTTCACACACTTTAAGACACACTGTCATTCATCCTTCCACACACCCTTTTACACACACCATCCCAGAGAGATGGTCTATGGATGTAGACAGAGTGAATCCATGAAGTTCTGTTCCTCTGAAAGACATACCCGGCCTCACATAAACATTTGCTGCTTTGGCTCAGCTGCTGTGAGACTGGTACACTGTGCGCGTCTGTTTCACCCTCTCCTCCTGCTTACCAGCCCAACAAGTTCATAGACCAGCTAATGCAAAGCCTGAGCAGAAAGGGGTGTGTCTTTTATGTGCTGTTTACTGCTAGGGCAGGTGGAGATCAAAATTTCTCTGGCACATGGTCAGGACTGCTCAGGTACAGCACCAGCAGGTTGGGTGAGAGGCCGTTATGTTTGCTGTACGCACTCTGCAGAGGTGCGCGGGTCTCGTAATGGGGATGCCCGGAATGGCCCGGAAGGTTCCGCGAGGGCTGCATACCATCTCTCCCCGTGGCTCCGGCTGCAGTTAGGGCTGGGGAAAAAACGCTGCCTGCATCTCTCACCACAGTCATGTGGGCGTTGGTGCAGCCAGAAGAGGAATTCAACCACATGCTGGGTTATACTTAAGATCCCGGCGAAGAGAGGGGGCAGCCCAGTGAGGAAATGGCTTTCCAAGGCCTCTTCTGGGGGTTTTTTGTGCGCTATCTATATCTCCCTCTGCACCAGGCTTTTTTTCCCTCCTCTCCCAGCGTTATGTCACCCCGCTTTGTGTGTCGTCATTTCTTTTCCACTCGGTTTTTGCTTCTTTGTTCCTTCGGCTGTCTGACCGGGGCCTCCATCCTCTCCTTACTCTTCCTCTTTCTCCCTCCGTCCGTTTCACTACTTCACTTCACCAAAATGGTAAAAATAAACAGGTATTACTCAGGCATGCACAAAAAATTACACATACAAAGAACCAAGTGCTAAAAGGGTCTAAATATAAAATAAGCCGTGACAAAGTGTAAAACCAACATTTCCCTAAAAACTAACCACTGAAACAGACCTAAAAAAAATCTCATGTCTACATGAGGGCAGAAAGTTTTTGCGTTATGTGTCATGCGCAGTTTCCCTCTCTCTGTGTCACTCTGTGGCAGCACAGCGCACCTCTGTTCCATCACTGCCTGGATGCGGCGTTAGCTCTTTCTGTGGCAGGGCATTTTGGGCCTGTTAGATTGAGTGTACTTTTCACCTTGTTCGATGAAGTGCGGTTCTGTCTTGCTCTCCGGGGTGCTACAGTGGGAGCACAGCCTGTCCTCTCTGGGCTGCCAGCTGGGTCTCTCTGGCCTGCTCTTGCTAAACTGTATCCAGCATTGTGCCATTGTGTCACTTTGCTTATTGTCTTTCACTGGGGCCAGGTATTCTGTTGTGGTGGGCTGCTGCCCATTACCACTCAGCTTTGCTTGTATGTAATGTCCCATTAAGTGACGTAATTTGGTTGACTAGAGTTGTCTGTCTGTATGGTGTTGTCCTGGGGCGTCTGGAACTCGTATGAGGTTAACTGAGGGCCCCTCTGGTCGAGGTGATGGTTTTGATGACTCAGCTCTTGGCATATCAGGGCCTCCTCGTGTTGGTAGCATATCTTGCTTTGTTTTAGGGGAATTCAGATTTTAAGGGCCCTTTTAAATGTTAATTAGTAATTGGCATAGATATTATGCTTACACTGCACTACATGGAGAATGTTTTTCTGAAGAACTCGGCATGGAGGATTTCTCTTGAGTACTTGTGTTTGTGACATTTAGCAAAGTCTCGCTCTGTGGGCAGACCCACCGCTCTGCTGCCGTATAGGGTAATTGGTTGAAAGGGCAACTCAAATATTTTTAGCCATATTTCAGTTGGCAGATTGATTTGAGTAATCTTCTTTATGGCATAGAATGCCCTGCGTGCTTTTAATTTCAGCGTGTGCGGTGCCAAGTTCAGCATCATGTTCAGCTTATTTTTAGACCTAAATGAGTGTAGCGTGTGCAGTATTACAATATTTCATTGCCTATCTCTTCTCTCCCTTTCTCCCTCTCTTTCTCTTTTCCAGGCTCTGTTCTGTTCGCTTTATCCTCTTCTTTGTCCTCTGTCTTTCTTTCCACCTCACCTCCGGGTCTCTCTCTCCTGCCTCTCAACCTACCTTTCTCCTGTTTTGGGGGAGTTACAGGTTGTATGACTTGATAGTTCAGGAGGGAGGTCCTTGAGATGATGGTGGTGTGATGGATAATGAAAGATGCTCATAGGGTTACTATACCTCCTACTCTTTCTCTGACTCAGAAATCGTGATGATGAATTCATGTAGAGGACAAATCTGTGGCCATGTATGGGTAACAGTGCAACTCCTTCTGGCCTGACTGGCTGATTGCGCCGATGCTGGTGGGAGTCCTTACGGCAGCACAGGGATAGTGTTGCTCTTTGAGAGAGCAGCGCAAGTTTCTCACAGTCTCTAAAGTTTAAATTTCTGTCCGTATAGGACACACTTCTCATGGTGTCTGCAGGGAGAGATTCTCACACTGACTGCTGGGTGAGTTTTTTGCAGTCTGCACAGGGTGAGTTTCTCATACTCTCTACAGGGTGCATTATCAGTCTCTACAGGGCACATTTCTTAGAAGGTGAGGCCCCTGCTCTGCTTTAGGGAGGGTTCTTCTCTTGAGTGAATGATCTGTGGGGAAGGACAGCGTAGGCAGCACATTGATTTGGTGACAGCACATATAACATGTTCTCTCACAGTACCTGAAGTGAAGTGGCTTGTGTTTTGATCTCATGTTTGATCTCTTGTTTTGCGAGCCACCCAAGTCTGCTCAGCTGTGGGAGGAAGAGACACCCACAACTCAGGCCTAGCTTAAGATCTCACAACAGGTGTGTAGACTGTGATGTATTTCATGTCAAAACCCAACAGTCCTCTTTATGTCCTCCTGAAACATCAAACATCTCTTTTTTGTGTCTTGATTTGGTTTGAGCAGTTCCACTGAACCCATCCTGTTCAGTGAGCATAGTTTGCCGCTGTGCAGTATGGTAGCGCTGCCCTCTAGTGGCTGGAGTGTTGAAACTGCACCCACCTGGCTGAGGAAGCATAGGGGGCATGCGTGCTTCTGTGGGTCAGGGGTTTACAGGGGATTAAGTTTAAAATAAACCTGCTTAACAAGCCTGCTCTTTTTTATCCACTTGGTTGATTTCATAGGATCTGCGATGCCGGCTAACGTTAATGTCTGTCTAGACTGCTGTGTGCTTTCTAGTGTCTCTGGGCTGACTGCTGTAATCAGCGCTGGTGCAGTCCCGCTCTCTGTGGTGATTGACTAGTGTGGCGTTGGGAACTGACACAGCCCTGGTGACCTGGTATGGGAGACTGGCTTACCTGGCCCACAGCAGATTGCAGGTCTGTGCATTGCAAGACTTGGTGTCCAAGGTTGATCAGCAGTGTAGCATAGTGTTAAGGCGTAGGGCTCAGAACTGAAAGATTGCTGGTTCAAATCCCCACTGGGGCACTGCTGCTATGCCGTTGGGCAAGGTACTTAACCCAGAATTGCCTCAGTAAATATCCAGCTGTATAAATGGATATCATGTGTAACTGTAACCTGTGTAAGTCACTGTGGATAAGAGCGTCTGCCAAATTGACAATAACGTGAAAAATGCGAAATGGTTTTGTTTCACTGAATTGGCCCCTTTTGAATGTGGAACTCTGCAGTCTCTAAAACAGAGGGGTCTGGTTCCCTCTTGTTTACTTAGTGCTGCGGTCATACAGCAAGTGAATGCGATCAGTCCCTCTGTCCTCTCAGGGGGTCTCAGGGGGTCTCAGGCTTAGGAACAATGTAAAGCTCACAATGCTTTGTACCAACTTGTGTTGTAAAAAGTGCTATACAAAGAAAATTGAATTGAATCGAATTGAATTGAATTGTCCTCACAATATTTGCTACCGCGAGCTCTCCTTTCTCGGATAGGTCATTAGGTCAGATCAGCTCCCCCGGGTCAGCTCGGCTGTTCAGCTTGTGGCTGTGGAGCCCCCATCTGGAAAGGGTTCATCAGACAGACAGGCTGCAGCCTGCTGGACCTGTTAGTCGTGACTGTATGTGTTTGTACATCAGGTCACCCCCAGTGAGTGCATGTGTGTGCTTACATGTGTATCTGTGTGCGTGCTTGTGTGTGTGGGTAGGGGAGGTGTCACACCCTGGGAGCCAAAAGGTCAGGAACCTCCCTTGCCAGCTTTTCTGCCTCAGCGAAAAAAAAAAAGGGCAGAGACAGGACGGTGTCCCTGTGGGTGGAGCCAGTTGTGGTGCCAGACCGCCCACCCTGGCCCTTTAACAATAGGCCCCAGTGTTATGCCCTGCTGAACAGGTGTAAATGTAAACTCAGAAGCAGTGATCTTGCTCAGTCCCCTCTGTTTCCCTTGTGCTGTCCCATCTGTGAACAATCGGGAAAAGTTCTGCCTTTTTTTTTTACTTTTTTTAACAGCAGATTGCTGTCTTTAATGTGGGCATTCCTTGGAAACCCACATCCAGAAGAGGCTGTGAGGGGAATGAGGTTTGTTTGCTGTGGACTCCCTGGAATATGCCACTTATCTGCACATTGACAAGAGAGTCCCTCCCCATCCTGTCCAGGGGAGGCCACACCTCTCTCTCTGTGTGCTGGCCCACTTTCCTATTGCTCCACGGGGCCACACCTCTGATTTTAGCCTGTTTCCCTGTGTCCACAAGAAACACTCCATTGTTGTCTGCGCAGTGTTTCTATGAATGAAATATCAAAAAATGTTTATAGGGCAGAGCGTATTCATTGTCTTAACTGTTAGGCTGTTATTAATCCAAAACGGACGTGTGTAGCCCTAACTTCTGCATTGTGTAGTTGGCTGGGCTGGATTTGCCCCTTAGGAAAAGCACAGAGTGGAAATATTAAAGAATTTAACCACAGTATCAAACAGCAACTGAGGGAAGATGTTTGTGTGCATGTTTGTAAATGTTGCTTATGTGTTTTAGTAGATGTGTGAAGGTGTGTTTGAGTGTGTGCGTGTGCGTCTGCATTTAAGTGCATGTGTGTCCGTGTGTCTATGTGTGTGTGTGTGTGTGTGTGTGTGTGTGTGTGTGTGTGTGTGCATTTCTGTGTGTGTGTGTGTGCATTGCAGTGTGTGTGTGTGTGTGTGTGTGTTTTCAGTGTGTTTCAGTGTGTGTGTGTGTGTGTTTCAGTGTGTGTGTGTGTGCGTTTCTGTGTGTGTGTGTGCATTGCAGTGTGTGTGTGTGTGTGTTTTGTGTGTGTGTTTCAGTGTGTGTGTGTGTGTGTGTTGTTTCAGTGTGTGTGTGTGTGTTTCAGTGTGTGTGTGTGTGTGTGTGTGTGTGTGTGTGTGCGTTTCAGTGTGTGTGTGTGTGTTTCAGTGTGTGTGTGTGTTTCAGTGTGTGTGTGTGCGTGTGCATTGCAGTGTGTGTGTGTGTGTGCGTCAGTGGGCGACGGCGGGTGTCTCTGGGCCCGGTGCTGATCCAGTCCACGTGCCCCATTGTTCTGCAGCGCCAGCGGCACCATTGTCAGCTCTGCTGTGTTTGTGTAGCGCCTCTGTGTCCCTGTCAGCATGTCATCCCGCTGAACAAGAGAGCGCTCTATTCCCTCCACGCTCCTGCGTGTTACTCACACTGTCCCCTCTCTGCTCCCTCACACAGACCTCACCTCCCCTCTCCTCCTGTCTCTGTCCTCCTTTACAAAGACCTCACCCTCCCTTTCTCCTCCTTCACACTGACCTCATCTCCCCCCTCTTTCTCTCCCTATTCTATTGCAGTCTACTTGAGAAGTTCCTGTCTTGCTGTCCTCAGATGAAGAAGGCCTTGCCTTCTGCACACATGGCTATAGACTGTGAACCTGTAAAACTCAGTCTCAGGGGGAAGGCTCGCTGTTCTGAACTAGGCTCCTGGCTCCTCCCTCTCGTCACCATTGACACGTGTTGCTTAAGTGTGCAGATCGGGCCTGAAACAGGTTCAGCGATACTCGTGTGACACTTTAAATCTTCCCACCGGGCCCCTCTGTCTCTTGTGTTGATTAGGTGCTGTTTCAGCAGCTTTTGCTTTGTGAGGTGACAGCTGAGCCAACAAGACGGAGTCCCAACCGCAGAACACTTGTGCCGGGCGGGGTGACCTGAGGGAGGCATGGTTACCATGTGCCGAGGGGGCCCAGGGTGCTTTAAAGTCATTGTTGGGGTCCATGGCTCAGATGGACAGGGGAAAAACTGTGTGTCTTCATTTAAAGAGAGGCCCTGCTGTAAGCCACATGGGCTGCGCTTCGCTCTCAAGTGCATTTGAGAAGAGGTTTTGGGGTCACTAATGGGGAGTTTTGGGGTTATCAATATTGGCTTTTTTTAGAGTCATTGGTGGGGTCTGTTGGGATCATTTGTGGGAGGTGTCTTGGGGTGACCAGTGGGATGTGTTTTGGGATCATCACCGGGGAGTGTTTTGCAGTCACCATCGGGGTGTGTATTTGAGTCAATAATGGAGTGTTTTGTGGTTGTTTACGGGACATGTTTTAGGGTGGGGTGTGGTTTGGGGTATTCTGAGGAGATCTGTGAACCTGCGGATGCAGCGGTGAGCAGCGTAAGATGAGTGGCAAATGGCGCTGCTGTAGCTCCATACCTCCAGCCAACGCTGGCAGCATTCCTCTCTGTTGTGAAAAAGAGCTGTTTTGGTTTTTGTCACAGAGTGGAAAAAAGATGGGTGGGGGGGGTTGGTATATCTACATGTGTTAATCTGCTCCATGGCGGTGTCGGCGGGACTATAAAAGGGATTAGGGCATATCTGAGAGCTAATCTGTCTGCTGCAGTCGACCTGCTCGCTAGCACGCGCGTGGCAGGGCCCCTTTGTGGGGGGTTTGGGGGGGGGGAGTGGGTTATTTGGCAGCACGTTACCCGGCTGGAGATTAGCGGCATGTGGTCTTTGATTTCATTTCTTCAAGGGAATGAAAGTGCGGGGGGGTGTGGGGGGCGGTTGAGGATGTGGGGAGATGAAATGTACTGGAAAAAAGTAAGCAAAGCAAAGGAAAAACTTCTACAGGCTCCAGGTGTGTGTGCTGTGTGTGTGTGTGTGTGTGTGTGTGTGTGTGTGTGTGTGTGTGTGTGTGTTTGGGGAGGTTAGAGGGCAGAGCTGAGGGATAATAAGGGAACAGACAGATAGAATGATATGTGTACCAGAAACAGGCTCCCAAACTGCACACTCGCCTACTTAAGTAGTGTGCTTGTCAAGTATGTTTGACTGCCTAGTACAGTCACACCAGGTAGTGTGGATAGTGTAGTATGTTTGAAAGTATCCAGGTTATGTACTACAATGCCTGGACGTAGAAGGGTGCATCGCCTGAAACACTTCCTGCTTCCATTATGCAGGAAGTGTTTCACGTTTCCAGTCCCAGAATCCATTCCAAAATAAAAGGGTCAGAGCTTACTTGGAGTTCAGAGTGGGAGGAAAAAATGGCAGGCAAGTTAAACAGTTGTCTGCAGCAAAATACTGTAGCTAGCTAGCTGGTCCCTACTGTAGCTAAGGTCCACATTTTGTTAATTTAGAATTCTGACAGCAAGGTGCAATCACAACTGAAATATAATGCGTTCTTGCATACTTATTTATGTGTATTAAAAGATTTGATGTAGAGTATGTACTATGCTGCACATACGGCATATAAAGTACTCTAGGTTACAGTAGGTCATGCTAGGTTACAGTATGCAGTATGCTAGGTTGCGATTTGGGACACAGCCAGAAGTGTGCCAAACTGCAACCCAATCTGGTGTGCTTTTGTGTCTCACAAGCATTCACACACTAACACTGACTGGGAATTGCCATTTGATCATGCAGTGGAGGTAATGGAGGTCCACCATGAATCTCAGCTCTGTCCCCCTGTTGGTCTCTCACACTTTACCTGGGTGCATGTGTGGACCTGCATCAGCCAATCAGAACACAGGCTGGGTCAGCTGAGGGCCCAGCTGTGTCACTCCTCTCGGCTGTTTGTCACCCCTGTTTAAACTGCAATTCAACCCTCCCCTTTTCTCTCTCTCTCTCTCTCTCTCTCTCTCTCTCTCTCACTCTCTCCCTCTCACTCACTCTCTCTCTCCCATGGTCTTTTGTTGGATTTTTTTCCCCTCTTGTTCTTTTTGTAACATGTTATTTGTGCATTTGAGAGAGAGAGATGGACTGAAAGAGAGAGACCGAAGCCAAACGCGATTCTTTTGTTCCTGCCCGTAGGATGCCTCCATGACTGAGGACAAACTCTTATTTTCATTTGATTTCATTCACTCTGTGCTGACCCCATCCAATTCTACACCCTCCCCCCCCCAACTCTGATGTCCTACATAGCATGCTTCTCCCTGTGAAAGGGTGACTGCAGTCGGCGCTGAGACACTGTCCTGTTTAGGCACAGAAGTGTCACATTGCTCTGAAGGCATGCCAGTTCACCTCTCTTTTCTTCATGTTACAGGGTGTCTGCTTTGAATGGTTGTGCTGATTATCACATTGACTGAAACAATGAATGGTCAG